CCTTCCCCCCGACGCAGGGGGCCGCCTGTCACCAGCACGCGGGACCCGGCCGCCGTGAGGCCTGCTTTCGTCACTAGTACAGTCTTCCATTCTTTCAGAGTTGTACAGAAAGGGAGTCTTCACGGGTTTTAAAATAACCTTTTTATTTTAGAACACTTTTAGAGTGATTTTTTTTTTAAAGCCCGTAGGACGGTCCAGAGAATTCCTATACACACCACCCCAGTTTCTCCCGTAATTAACACTTCGCGTTCGTGTGACACTTGTCGGCATCAATGCCCCCACAGAGATGTTGTCAACTCCGACTTGACTTGGATTTCCTCAGCTTCCCCGACGTCCCTCTTCTGATGCGGAGTCCCCTCCGGGACAGCACATGCCACTTGGCGGTCACAGCTCCTCTGGGCCTCCGGCCTGTGACGGTCTCTCACATGTCCCTGTTTCTTTGACGAGCCCCCTGGTTTTGAGGATACCGGCCAGGGGTTTCGTGGGCTGACTTTCAATTTGGGTTTGTCTCACGTTTTTCTCCTGGTTAAACGGGGGGTGACGGAGTTTCGTTACAATTTTTTAAAAAGGGAAAGAGAAGGCTGGTTAAGTGATGCTGCAACAACGCAATGGAACCCTGCGGGTTGTTTCCTTTAATCACCCGAGGATATGTTTTTACTGATTTTTAAAAATATATGTTTTTATTGATTTCAGAGAGAGGAAGGGAGAGGGAGAGAGGGACAGAAACATCCGTGATGAGAGAGAATCAACAATCGGGGAATTGAACTGCGACCCCCTGGTTCATGGGTTGATGCTCAACCACTGAGCAACACTGGCCAGGCATTGTTATTGGTTTTTAGAGAGAGAGGAAGTGAGAGAGAGAGAAATTAATTGTTTGCTTCCCATACATGCCCCGACCAGGTATCATACCCGCCACTTTTTGGTGTATGGGACAAAGGTCCAAATGAGCGACCCGGCCAGGGCCACTCGTAGGCTTTTTAAGATGAGGTGTTACACACACTCATATGGCAAGATCTCCAAGATACACTATCTGGAAAAGAAGTGAGGAACAGGCGTGTACATGTAATATATACGTGTGTGTGTGTGTGTGTGAGAGAANATATGGCAAGATCTCCAAGATACACTATCTGGAAAAGAAGTGAGGAACAGGCGTGTACATGTAATATATACGTGTGTGTGTGTGTGTGAGAGAGAACAGCTCCGTACCATGAGAAGCCACGTGCAGAATAAGTTAGCAAAGTGGGGATTCAACGATAATTATTCGATGACAAAGGGATCCTGAGGGTGAGAGCCTTCAACTACTTCTTGATGGGACAAGAAAGGAGATGTGACCAAAGAAAATGGTAAGGAAACGATGCCAAGTAAGATCCGTGCAGAAATCAGATGACGCAGCCTCAGTCCAGAAGAGGAATGTAACTCAGAGCCTTGGTTCTGGGCTCCTCTGTTGCGGCCAGCAGTGTCCCTTGGTCATTTCAGGACAGTATGCCCAGCCGGGCTTGGCTGGCCCAGCGCCAGGGCCTCTGGTCGAGGTCCGGCTCTGTCCCCCTAAATGCACATGCTCTGCAGTCCGCCACCAGGGAGCAGAGCGTCTGTCACCAGACACGAGAGAGCCCCCTAATCACCTCTGGCATAAGAGAGAAGTGAAAAACAAAACAAAAAAACAAAAAAAGCCCAGAGGTTGTAGTCCTTCCCGTTTGGGATAATGGGGACGATCCCGTCCAATCTGGCAGAAAGCTGAAACTTCAGAATCTTTTTTAAGGTAATTTTTCTACTCTTCAAGCATCATGTATACTATAAGCTAAGCTATAAGTAACAATGCCATTAAATTTAGTTTTATTTTTTTAATTTTCATACAGTAGAACTGACTCTTTGGGGGGGGGTACACACTTATAAATTTAACCTGAATTTCTTTTCAAACAAAAGTCGCTATGCGTTTATTAAGACAAGCACAGCTGGCTCCATAAGTCGTTATCCACATATTATCACACATTCCACAAGGTTCCCGAGAAGAGAGCTCAGGGCAGGCTTCTCTTGTGACTCAACTGGATTCCAACTAATCTCCCTAAAAGTCTGAGTATTGGTGCAACCTGTAATTAAGGGCCCTGCCCTGTTCATTCCCCAGGGCACTTCTGGCAGAAATATCCCTGGTAGGAACAAGAGAAATAAAAGAACTACTCTTCCTCTGAAGGTCTGGGGAGTTTGAAAATATTGTACAGGAAGGATGGTGAACCAATCTGACCAATTCTTTCATTTCTTCTAAAGCAACCGCCAAGGTTTCTGCAGCAGGATGGAAGGTCAGAGACATAACACCTGTAACCAAGTTCGTGAGAGCCTGTATCAGCTTCCGGTTTGTTTTTTAAGACAAGAACCTTGACTGCATGTTTGCCACTCCAGAATCAGATTAGGCTCCCGGCTTATTAGGAAAGGCTGTCACTCGGACAGCCCGATGGAAGAGGTGCATGGGACAAGGGGTGTGGGAAGGGGCGTGCAGCTTCCAGCGCCCTCCCACGCCCCTCCGCACGGTCACCAACCCAGAAGCAGCTCGCTAATGCTTTAAAAGTTACAAAACTTTGCTAGTCTCTATTGCACAATGAATCTTCAATGTGAAAACTCGAGTTACACAACATGATTTGAACTATGGCCTCAAAAGGTCCTAGCACGTGGGGATTACAAATATTACACGTAATCTCAACTAAATAAATTTCAACTAACCAAATAAAAGGATTATTTTACTAAGTCTTTAGAAATTTCCCAGAGAAAAATGTATTCAGAGAATCATCATCCATGGGTGCTAAAGGTACCAGTGGGATGTGTCTAATACAGCATCGGGGACATTATTAAATATTTATTGAGTGGACGCAGAAGAGAGTGAAAACCAAAACCATCTACTCCCACACTCAGCTTGGGACACAGAGAACCCCAACACCTTACCGCCTACATGAATGTGACTTTGTGGTCTGCTGCCTTCAATGGCATTTTTTTACTTTTCCTAGACTGTCCAGGCCAGGCAAATGGTTTGAACATCAACAGCCAGTTTGCCCACTGAGATTCTTTGAATTCCCTCGCCTTAACGTTTCCAGCAATTTTGGACTGTCGTGCAGTGGTTCTTACCCAATCCTAAACAAGACCCTGAACTGAAAGACCCGCCTTAAACCAAACTTCCAGTTCTGGCCTTACCTTCGCCTCTCTGAGATTCTGCCAAAGCTCTGCCAAGTAGTGCTCTCCTTTCCAGAGAACACAATAAACTCAGCTCTGTCTACTAACAGGTTGTGTGTTGGTGATACTCTGAGCCAATTTTTGACAAGAGGAATACAACCTAAACACCGTAGCCAAAATAATAATATTTTAATGCCTGGTGGCACTAAAAACAGCATCAGTAATAGTGCCCTTGCCAGGGAGACTGGAGCTTGAGACAAAAGGAACAATCGGCAATCACGATCTTGTCTTTATTTAAAATTTTGCTATTTTGTTCATCGTGGATTTTCTTGCATTACTTTTGATTTTTTTTTAATGTTACATTAGAACACTATTAATCTATTCATTCTTTGGCTCTTCCTTAAATTTTGTGTTGGGAGGTGAATGCTTCACTCATTTACCCTTATTCCCAGTACTGGAAGGAACACAGCATTTAAATGTATAGTTTTGTGGACAGAAAAAAAAAAAAAGGTTCTGTGGAAAGTCACCTCACAGGGTGACCTGATCATAAATTCCTACATGGGCAGGTCATCAAGGTGAGCAGTCACATCCCAGGCCTGTAACTTCTTTTATATATAAAAGTATGTTGATTAAAGTTACAAAGGTAAATTAGGGAGATATAAAGGGGGTGGCGTAGTGCGCTTTATCTTCATTATCATGGCCTGAAGTCTAAACGAACAACTAAAAACAGGATTTAAGGATTTTACTTATCTTTTTTTTTTAGGAATCAGAACTAAAAGCACAACTGATTAAAAGTGGCTGCGTCCGAGGGTGGGGAACGTTTGCTTTTCATTACAAATCCCCCTGTACTAGGTTTTTAAAACCTGTGCATTTACAACTCGGACGACGGCGAAGATCATCATGAAGACAATAAAGTGGATTCCAAAGATCTCTCCCCTCGGGCCAGCTCGGCCTCAGGCGAAGTCCTCGCCCCTCCCAGCGCAACGCCGCCCACGCCTCTGGCAGCAAAGGTGCCATTATTTTAAAAGATAACACTGGAGCCCCCCCCTCCCCAGTGCTACTGGGTCCCCGTCTTTTTTGGCCCAATCCGGGAGGCTTTGGGGACACCCTGCGACGCCCCCTAGCAACTGCGCAGAGCCCAGGGTTCACCTCCCCTAGGACCTCGAGTCCCCTTCCCCGCTCTTTTCCGGGGAGGCTTTTGCGTGCGGACCCGGAAGCGGCGAGACGGGTCAGACCCCAGGCGCAGGCGCAGTCCTCCTCCACCTTGTGGTCCCGCCCCTTCCCAAGCCCCCAGCCAACCTGTCTGCGCGTCCGGGAGGCCTTGGGCTGCTTCTTCCCGCCCGCGTGATCACGTGACGAACGAGGGGCGGGGCTGAGCGCGTCTCGCTTCCCCCTCCTCCCCCCGGACAATTTCTTGTGCAGCTTCCAGGGTCTCTTCCCGGGTTTTGGGAGGGGGGGCGTCGGCTCTGGGGCTCTCCTGGCCGAGAGCTGAGCACTCGCCTTCCCGGTGGCTGGGCCCGGGTCACGGCGACCAGGCCGGCGCCGCCTCCACCTTGGCTCGGGTCCGTCACGCTCCCGGGGTCGGCGGTGACGGCGAAGGGGCGGGCCGGGGGCGGGGACTCGCGCGGTTTTGAGGCTGCTCTCCGGGCCCCGCCGGCGCTACAGCTCCCGATAACCTTCGTCACCGCAGTCTCGGCCTCCGCTACCTCCGACGGCTGTCACCATGAATCCGGACCTGCGCAGGGAGCGGGCCTCCGCCAGCTTCAACCCGGAGCTGCTCACGCACGTCCTGGACGGCAGCCCGGAGAACACCCGGCGCCGGCGAGAGATCGGTGAGGGCGGCGGGCCAGGCCTCCCTCCTTCCCCGAGCAAGGCTTGAGACTCCCTCGATAGAGTCTGGGGGTGCTGTCGGACCTGGGCTCTGGCCCAGCTTTAGGGGAGCCGCGACCTGCACTTCTGGGGGCGGCCTGTGGAGGGGTGCGGAGGGGGTTCGCCCATCCGAGAGGGGACCTGGGCGGTGCCTCTGAAGCCAGCTGCGATTCAGGGAGCTGGTAACGGAGCCCAGAATTCCTGTCTTCGTCTTGATGCCCTTTAATCCCTTCCAGAGAACCTGATTCTGAACGACCCGGACTTCCAGCACGAGGACTTGAACTTCCTCACTCGCAGCCAGCGTTACGAGGTGGCTGTTAAGAAGAGTGCCAGCATGGTGCAGAAGATCAGGGAGTTTGGCATCTCGGACCCTGAGGAAATCACGTGGTTTAAAAAGTACGTAGGCCCTAGTCGTAGATCAAATTTTCATCTGTGATCAAAGCCCAAACCTTAAATCCGCGGACCGCGGGTGCTTTCTCATCGCGCTTGGCGTTTGAAGACGCAGACTGGCATGTTTTCAGGCTACTTTGGAAGCTGAATGCGTGGAAGATAAATGGTTAGGCTTGTATTTAGACCTTTTAAAGGGATGACCTGGGGAATGCTGATAACGAATTGGAGACCCTGCAATTTTCATTCTCAGGAACAGTATAAATTCTTTAGGACAGGAGTCTCAATTTTGAGTGATTTAAATTCAAAGTGCTTTTGCTCTTTGTAGGAAGGAGGCCTGCTAAATTTAGATGCTGACTTGGAAGGATTTTTCATTTGCAAGACCAAACATTTAAGTATTTTGTAGCAATAACATTATATTTTTCTGTGGTGGCGTAGATCTTGAGTTTTAAATAATGTAAACTAGGGAGTGGGGGAAGAACATAAGTCAAATCTCAGAATGCATATGAAGTATTCTAAGAACTCGGCATTGTTGAACCTGCAGGCAGTGGTAACACGGTTCTCTGGTGCATGTGAGGCCTCATAAAACCATCCTGTGGTCCCAGCCCCTGAAAAAAAGAGTCTTTCCCTTTTTCAGACCATCCACTTTTTGTTGTGTTTTGTTATTTAATTGGGGGAAAAATGCACTTTGTTTTTGCCTTTAAGTAAGTAAACACTCCATAATTACATGATCTTAGTACAAGGTTCCCTTTGGCCTGTAGCACCTCTTACACTTCTTATTTATTCCTGGGCATTTCCTCTTTTAGGTTTCTACATTTTAGAAGAATTCCAGTATTTTCATCAATAAAGATTAAGTGATGTGAATGGTGTATATTCAAGATCCAAGAAAAAAATGAAACAGGTTTTCATTACAAGTTTTGCCTTTATGTAGTAAAAATCATTCCTCCCATAATACTGTTGCCTCTAGTACATTTGGTATCTAATTGTTTTCAGCTTTACCTCTTTACTATTGTCAAGATGAAATAATTTACTCTGGTCCTTAGCACCTCCCTCAGAATTCCTTTTCATTTTAGTTATAAAAATACAGTTTATTTTTGGTAGCCCAAATTAGAATACTTATTAACTTCCAAATGCTCTTTTTTTAATTTTTAAAGTTTGTAACTCATGGCTGGGGGGCTACTAAGGTGGAGCCGTGATTTTCGACCTTGTTCATCTCATGGCACACACAAACTAATTACTAAAACTGTGGCACACCAAGAAATATGTTATATTTTTTGCCAATCTGATAAAAAAAGGTATAATTTTGATTCATTTACACCAGATGGCTGTTGTTGTTGGCTGTTGTCATGTATTTGACAATCGAAAGGAAAAGAGGTCAGTGCCCCTGACTGAGGTCAGGTATTGTATGTTTGCTTGTTTTTAAGAGATTTACAAATTTTTAAAAATTTACTTATTGATTTTAGCCAGGGAGAGAGAGAAACATCGATTTGTTGTTCCACTTATTTGTGCATTCATTGTTTGATTTTTGTATGTGTCCTGACCAGGGATCAAACCCACAACCTTGGCATATTGGGACGATGCTCTAACCAACTGAGCTACCTGCCCAGGACTGGTATTGCCTGTTTTAAAAATTCTTGTGATACACCAATGTGTGTCTTGCTGCCCCTGGTTGAAAATCGCTGAGGTAGAGCAACTCCTAGAAGATTATGTTTCTGAATTTTATTTTTATTTTATTTTTTTTCTGTTAATCCTCACCTGAGGATATTTTTTCCTTTGCTTTTCAGAGAGAGTGGAAGGGGGAGAGAAAGAGAGGGAGAGAGAAACAAACATCAGTGTGAGAGAGACACATCAATTGGTTGCTTCCCGCAACTGCCCCCACTGGGGCCTGGAACTGAACCTGCCCTTGACTGGAATCAAACCAGAGACCCTTCAGTCCTGGGGGCCGATGCTCTAGCCACTGAGCAAACCAGATAGGGCTATTTGTTTGTTTTTATATATATCTTTATTGATTTCAGGGAGACGGAGAGAGAGATAGAAACATCTATGATGAAAGAGAGTCATTGATTGGCTGCCTCCTGCACACCTGCTGCTGGGGATCGGGCCTGCAACCCGGGCATGTGGCCTGACCCAGAATCAAACCGCGATCTCCTGGATCCTGGGTCGATGCTCAGCGGGTGAGCCGAGGCATGCCCAGCCCAGCCGGCTAGGGCTGTTTTGCTTTTAAATGGTTAATGCAGTGTTATTCAGAGTTGGTTAGAAGATTTCATAATCTGTGATGGTAACCAGATTAAAGGGAAGTCACAAGGAAATAGGACAAAGCTCTTTATGTGAGTTAAAAATTAGTGGACAGCTGGCAGTTTTGTGTATTTTTCATGATGCATACCTTGCTATTTGGGGACTAAAGAACAAACTTGAACATACCCTTTGACATCCTTCCAGTATCCATAGGATAATACTGGGAGATCAATCTATGTAAGAAAAGGGGATTGAAAAGTATTCTTGGCAAGTAATGAATGCTATCAGGTCTAAGCCTCCATTGATTGTAACTCATGCCCACGTTTTATATAATTATGAAATTTATATAATTATGATGTAGCATAAATTGTAAGATACATCAGATTTCTTAAATGCTAAAGTTGAGGTAAGGGTGTGCTAGAATTGATGGAAAACAGTAATCTTTCTCTTTCTGGGGATTTTGGGCATTTACTGATCTCTTTTACATCTATTCCTCCTATCAAAATACAACTCACTTATGAGAGTATTTTGAAGTTGACTGAATATTAGTAAAATACTTTGGAATGTCTCAACTTGAGCAACAAAAGAACTTTTCAGTTCTTGAGAAAATAAGGCCTTGCTGTTGGGGGAATATAAAAGTTGTTTTTCTGAACTCCTTTCCTGTAATTTTGTCTGTTAACTGTTTGCTGTGAAAAAACAAAATGTTCTTCAGAGTAATTTAAAATTCTAATAAGAAGTAGTCACAGCATCCTTAGGTTTTTATTATTATTATTTTTATTTTTAAAGCGAGAGGGAGAACCTAATTTATGCATTTATAGGTTACTTCTTGTATGTGCCCTAACCAGGGATTGAACCCCCAACCTGGGCATATCAGGACCACACTCTAACCAACTGAGCTGCCTGGCCGGGCCCTTCTCAGGTTTTTAAAGCTGGTTCCTTGGAAAGCATCTTCAGGAGGGATTAAACATAACTTAAAAACAAGCACTCAGAGTTTGTTCTTGAGTTGATTTTCAAGTGGCCTCCAAAAAGAATCTCAGTATATTATTAACATAAATATTTGGCAGTCTTTATTTTGTGTCACATATTTTCCCCTCTCAGTTTCCTAGAATTATTTTGTGCCAAAGTCATCATTTTTTAAACTCAGAGTCTCAGTTCCCTCATGGAGGTAGGAGCGTCTTATATTGGCACCATCTCTAGCACCAAAGTGACCACTTGTATTTCTCAGGAATCCTTGTAGGCTTGTTTCCTCTTTTGGTAGGACGTGGCTGTCAGGGAGTGCCATGGTGCTCTTGCCTTTCAGAGTGACTTCTACACGTTACTCTCTACACGTGACTGTTAGGCTTCAGCTCCCACGTCAGTGAGGTGGGGGTGTTTTGTGAAGCATGTTACTTTCCTACAGCGTAGCAGCAGGAAAATGCTGCTAATCTCAGCTACTGGGGGAAAGCAGCTCCCCTTTTCTGTTCATACCCATCCTTCCCCTCTTGCCCTCCATTCAGTTTCAATTAACAGTTGATACTGCTGTAAAAATCCTGGAACGCTGATGAGGGCCAGCCCAGGCTTTCCTTGGGTGTTTGAGTCTGTCTGGCACCTCTGGAAGGTGATCTTCCCCCCGAAAGGTGATCTCAGGGCCTCTGCAAAGTTGAATTGCGAGCCTGCCCCCGACCCTTGGTTCATGCTCTGCTTGTACAGATCAGGACACACTGGTGGCAACACCACCCCCTCTTCATCCCCTGAGAAGTCATGAGCGTCATGAGAAAATAGTTAAAGACTGAATTTCATTATGATTCAAGTTCCTTTAATCAAGTGATTTTCAGAGCCCATTGGCAGTAAATGTTTAGCAGGCTCACATTACTTGCTGACCCATCTGTAAACCGCAGACCGTTAAAGTGTGTGCTTCGGCCCTGGAATGTGCGTTTACCACTCTGGGTGTTTGCTTCGGTGTCTAGGGATAGATTGCTCACCTTCTTTCATCTGTAATGTTTTATTGTGTGTCTGTAAAAAAACTCAGCCACAACCGTGTCATTGTGCAGAAAAAATGAACAGCTGTTTAATACCAAGTATCTAGTCAGTGTGCACTTTTCCTGACTGTCTTATCCTTTTTGACAGTTTTTTTGAGTTTTTAATTTTATTGAACTTATTGGGTGGCATTGGTTAACAAGATCATACCGGTCTCAGGTGTACAAGTCTATCCACACCACCTGCACATCGTGTTGTATGTGCACCCCCCAAGTCACGTCTCCTTCCTCTGTCCTTCTTTGAGGCTGTTTTAACAGACCTACAGTAAGTATTGTATGGAATTATTTTGATTTTCAAACAAGTAAAACCTGAAAATAAAGACACATGCTCCAAAAAATCCAACCAGCCAAACCAATGCATAACACCAACAAAACCAAAACCAGAAAGTGTTCTTAGGCTAAAACGGTTGGTAGAATTTGCTTTCTGGATTAAGTATAGAATTAAAGAGGAATCTGGCCCTGAAATGGCAAGGGGCAGAAAAGATTCCACTACGTTTAATTTCGTGAGAAAGGGGTTTGAGGGCTCCTGCCCTTGGTCCTGGGGCCGGTCTGGCAGGAAGGGTGCAGGCTGCAGTTTCTAGCCTGAGGCTGAGACCCTTTTCTTTTCTCTCCTGTAGACTACATGTGATCAATTTTGTGGAACCCATGAACCTCAATTTCTCCATGTTTATTCCCACCTTGCTGAATCAGGGCACCACTGCTCAGCAAGAGAAATGGCTGCGTCCCGCCAAAGAGCTCCAGATAATTGGCACCTACGCCCAGACGGAACTGGGCCACGGTTAGTCCACATCTGAGGGTCAGTGGGTAACCCATCTCAGGACTTCAGTTAACAGATGACTCCTGGCATTTGTTTTTTCCTGCTGCTACACAGTTGAGATTTTACTTTTAAATCATTAAATTTTAAATAAAACTCAGCGCCTTGTCCTCTCATAGATCATTTCCCCATAAACTGGCCCAGGACTCTGGCCTGAAACATCCTTCGTTGTTATTTGCCGTTGCTCCATACCCCAATTTTTAACAGGTGTTGAGCAGTTGGGAAATATGGGGTTAAAATATGGCAAAATACCCCACCGTGTTAGTGCCTGATTGTTAAAGCTTTCTTGGAAATTGTTGAGAGGGTTGCTGCCTCTACGTCTGGGAGATGCCTCTGCTTTAATAAAATGTGGGTTTTAATGGGGGCAGGGGACTAGAGCAGTTAAGTGTCTTGCTCTTTCATTGCCCACTAGTGGGGCTATAAGGCAGTTTGAAAAAAAAGTCGATGGTTCTCTTTGTTTCTTTTATACGTCTTACCTATACATGTCCATGGACTTTGCATTATGAATAATTCTCAGTTAAATTGTTCTTAAAAGCCTGGCTACTTTCAAAAAGTATTGTGTTTGGTCTTGATGTGAAATAAGTTTGTTTTCATGGACAAGGCCATTGGCAGGTATGTGTCTTGAATTTGCACTGCCCAGTCTCATTCCTAATTATCATATTGCTTCGTTATGTAAATAAAGGAGAGTAAAGACAGGGAAAGAGGATTTGGTGCATTTTGGTTTGTGAATTGGTTTAAGAAAATGCTTTTTATCATGATCCCCGGGAGGACTGCAGATTCTGGTTCTGTGGTCTGAACACCTTGTCAAACACCCAAGATCTGAGCTTCAGGCCAATGCTGAAACTACAGCCTGAGGAAAGGGGTCCCGAGGGAAGGACAATAACTTCATGTGGTCTTTCCACCTTGGCGGGGGGTGGAAGAGAGTTTTGTGATCTTGAAATAGCTTTTTCTCTTTCAGGGTGTATCATGGCAGAATTTATTTGACTTAATAGTCGTGCTGTTCGTAGGAGGCATAGGGTGTAAACCGTCCTGGGTCCGAATGGGTCTGATATGTTTGTCTCTTACTGGTCTAACCCTCCTCTCTTTTTAAAATACATTCCAAATATATATTTGCCCTACATTTTGAAGGAAGAGCAGAAGAAATGAGGCTTGAACTTCACTGGTTTGAGGAGCCCAGAAATTGGACTATAGGCTCTGGGCGAGTTTGCAAATGTGAGTTTTTTCCTGTGGCTTCTGATTTTTAGATATTTTCTTGTGTTTGAACCAACTTTGTCTTCATCTCTACAGTTTACTTTAGAGCTGAGGTTCTCAGCTGGTGTGCTATAGTACGCTCCCTGGTGCGCTGCAGGAATTTTTAAAGCGTGACTGTTTAGTCAGGGCACTGACCTCTTTCCCCTTAGATTGTCAAATAAAATAGTGACGGCAGCCACACGACAGCCGTCCAGTGTGAGTGAATCAAAATTATACCTTTTTTGTGTATGTGTCAGATTGGAAAGAAATAAAATACCTTTTTTGGTGTGTCGCAGAATTTTCGTACTTAGTTTGCGTGTGCCATGAGATGAGGAAGGCTGGAAAGCACCGCTTAGAGAATACATGTTAGGGTAGGGTCTTGTTTCCTGCCTGAATCCTGAATCCTGTCAGTTCCCATTGGTGCGGGCTGTGCTCCGTTGACTGCTGTCCCTTCCCAGGAAAGCCAGCCAGTCTGTTAGCCCATTCCCTCATGTGACAGCATGTACCTTAGGCAGATTACATAAAAAGTTCAGCATCAGAGAGCTTGGCAGTAGAGCAAGAGCAGCTGGCACAAGATAAAGGTTTGACTATTTAAGTCCTGAGATTTTGGAACATTGATCAACAATGATTATGTAAAGTGTTCTCGCAGAGCTGGCTCTAACTTTGCGCCTGGGATTCTTTCACTTCTGGGGAGCCCCTCAGAAGTGAGAGACTCAGTGTTGCCCATTCCAGGATTCTCAGGAACCTTAAAATCCCATCTCCTGCAGAAAGTTTCAGTCACCCGGCTCCTCTCTTGCCTCTAGAATGTCTTCCGTCCTCTAAATACACACCTGTCTGCATGGGCACATAAGTTCTGACTTGAATTTTGTGCGTAGGTCTGTGGCCTTCATCGAAGGCAGAGGTCTGGGCTGAGGGGACCCCCGCTCCCTGGGGTTTGGGTGTTGAAGGGACAACCTAGAGCGTGTGTGGTCCAGGGTTAATCATCCTGACCAGACATTTCTCCAGGTCACAGGTCAGGTATTCAGGGTTTTCTCAGGTACTTGATCATTTCACATTCTGGTCTGGTCACTCCCTGGTGATTCTTCTTGTGTGTCATTTTCTGTTACTGTTGTTATTAATATTGAGGAAAATGAAGCTTACACAGTATGTTATGAGCATCCTTGAAGGTGGTGCAGTATCTTTACAAGTTCCCATCACCAGTACTCAAATTGAAATACAGCATCTTTCTCCCTCTGAAACCTGAAAAATAGTGAACTTGATTTTATAAGTCACTGATCTTTCTTCCCCTGTATCATCACTGCTCTGTCTCCCCGATGGTCTCCTGTCCCTCTTCCTGGGTGAGTCTCTTCCCTGTTGGGACTTCCCATGAGACTTGCTCCCTTGGTGTTTGGTTAGTCTAATTTCCCCTCTATTAAAAATAACAGTATCAACTTCTTTACAAAACTATGTTCTTTGCAGTTATGTCTTTAGAATATCTCAGAAACGAATTACTGCATTAATGGAAATGATCATTTTCTAGCTTTCATTGCATAGTTCAAGACTTTTCCTGAAACGTAGAACCAGTTTAGAGTGTATTTAGCAACTTATTAGTATGCTTGGATCTCCATGGCCCCATCAGCATGGTTACTGTGGTTTTGTTTTGCTACGTTAATGTATACCTAAGAGTTAAGTTTTCATTTGCAGTGCCAGTGAACCTGGATATTGTTACATGTTTTGGCTTCCTGCCTGCATTTCCTCCTTTGAGCACTGACCCAGTGGAGCATGCCTGCTGCTCTTAGTGATTGTCTTGTACCCGCCAGGTTTCCGTTGCCTTCTGTTCACTCAGCATCTGGCCGCACGTATTCAGTGCGCCCTTCCCTCAGCAGGTGTAAGTTTTCTTTGTTTTCTCCCGGTCTGTTGCTTCGATGTGTACTCAGAGCTTCGCCTCGCGTATGCTGTAGAGTGATGAATGAGTCCCACGCTGTTTTTATGGTTATTAACTCCTAACTCGTTTTCCATTATGTTCTTCTGGTCCATCTTAGAGTTTTATAATGGTTCCAGTTTACTTCAGAATCTTAAACATATCACAGTGACTCGTTTCTTCCTTTGTTTTTCTCCTAGCACCATAAACTTGGGTTCATTGTTGCTTTGTAAGATATTTGAAAATCTGATAGCATAAGCCTGCTATTGTTACAGTTCAAGACACATGTATTCCGTGTGCCTGCATACTTGTTCTAGATGCATTCTGATCTCAGTTTGTCAAGTCGTAAAATATATTCTACAGGAATTAAAATGCATGTTACATTAAATCCTTGTGTCTTCCTGGGAAATACTAACTTTATTTAGTCCTTCAGCCAAGGACTAGCAGTTTCTTTTTTTGCTATTCGTATCTTCTTCTATTCATCCTATTAGATATATGTATTTTCCTAATTAAATATTTAATATCCTGAGCTAAATTACAGAACAAATTTTAAATATTGTGTTGCTTTTGTAAATCTCTTTTGTGGGGTTTCTACTTCAATGGCCCTAATTGATAAGAATGCAGTGATTTTTTTTCTTTTTCTTTATAGCCTACAGCTTTATTTTATTTTATTATTTTATTTTATCTTATCGATTGATTTGAGAGAGAGAGACATCAGTTTGTTGTTCCACTTATTCGTGTACTCATTAGTTGCTTCTTGTATGTGCTCTGACTGGGGATCAAACGTGTAACCTTGGTGTGTTGGGACAAGGCTTCAGGCGTCTGAGCTACCTGGCCAAGGCCTTACAGCTTTTCTAAAATCACTTATTAATGATGGTGTTATTTTTATTTCTTCCTTTCTCTTATATTATCAAATCATTTTGTCCTCAGTGTTGACTTCCAGCCTTTCCAGCCCTTTATCACAGAGGAGAGACTAGAAAGGCCTTCGGTGTTATGGGTTTAAAAGAATTAACTCTGGTGCTTCACCAAGTAAAATGTTGGTGCTTTATTTTAAAATAAATTATTTTAAAATAACATATAATGTCCTGGCCGGGTTGCTCAGTTGATTAGAGCATCATCCCCATACACCAAGGTTGCAGCACATAGAAACATCAAGCAATGACTGCATAGGTACGTGGACCAGCAAATCGATGTTTCTCTCTCTCTCTCAGCCTCCCTCTCCAAAAAAATTTATATATATGTAAAATATTTGTTACACATAACTAACATTTTTTTCAACAAATATTTGATTTAAGTGAAAAAATTATCTAGGTCACTTTCTCCTTGTGACATGTCTAAATTCCACCCACTTCCGAATAATCTTAGTCACAAGGGACATTCTTCTGCTGTGAAAACATTCTTCAGTCTCAGGCAGCTTTGACCGTGGCGGTTTTACCCGTCCGCCATGGGTGTCGTGGCAGCTTGGTTATTGGGTGTTGCTCCGCAGTGCACTCTGCGCCCCCCACCCCGGCCCCGCATGGGGGTGCTTCAGAGGGGCCCCTCCTTCCCGAGCTCTGGTTTCTAGTAATGCAAATGAGCCTTTCAGTGCCACCCGAGCTGGTCCCACGCCACAGTTCTCAGTCCTGGTTCAGAGTTTCCTCTCTTCAGGTCCCAGGCATACATTTATTTTTGTTCCTGCTCCATTCTTTTAAAAATGGGACAGTTGGCATTTTTTATTGTGAATGAAAGGCACTCTCTCATCCCATGAATTTTTTTTTTTTTAACTTTTTATTTTGAAATGATTATAGATTCCTAGGGAGTTGCAAAAATAGCACAGATCAGCCCCATGGACCTTTCACCCAGTTTCCACCAGTGGTCATATCTACGGGATGCTTCCAGTAAGTCTCTAGTGTCCTCATCATTGTTCTCAGCCCAGTGGCACTAGACTCAAAGATGTGATTGGACAATAAGATTATTTTTTTCTTTTTTTTTCTTTTTAGGGAGGGAGAGAGGGAGGAGAAGGGGGGGGAGAGAGANAGCCCAGTGGCACTAGACTCAAAGATGTGATTGGACGATAAGATTATTTTTTTCTTTTTTTTTCTTTTTAGGGAGGGAGAGAGGGAGAGAAACTGACTTGTTCCACTTCTTTACGCATCATTGGTTGATGCTTGTATGTGCCCTGACTAGGGATCGAACCCCCAGCCTTGGCATATGGGGACTATGCTCTAAGCAGCTGAGCTACCTGGCCATGGCTAAGCGATAAGATTCTTGTTCTTGACTTGTTTGTAGAATGAGGAAGCCGGTCACAGATTCTCTGATTTTTATGTGCTTGCTTAGCTGAAAGGACAGCCACCCAGTTGGAAGACATAATTGGTCCGCTCTTGCCTGAGCAGTGTGCCCTGGTTATGTCTTCTTCACCTTTTTTGGAACAAATGGAAAGATCTTGAAACTGAAATGTTTCTAAGATAATTAAAGCGAATAATAATATCAGCGTAGAGTTGGTTAATTTAGAGCTAGAAACTAAACAGAATGCCGGTAACATAAAAAAATACAAGGGCAAGTCTTGGCCATTGTTGCTCAGTTGGTTGAGCGTCGTCTCGTGCACCGAAAGGTCAGCAGTTTGATTCCCAGTCAGGGTACATGCCTGGGTTTTGGGCTCGATTCCCAGTAGGTAGGCATGCAGGAGGCAGCCGATTGATGTTTCTTTCTTTCTCTCTCCCCCTCCCTTCTTCTTTCTAAATATCAATAAAAAAACAATTTTAAAAAATACGAGGGCATGTAGAAGACATAAAGAATTATTTTCTATTAAAGATAAATTCACACAAAAGTCTAAGGCATCTGCAGATTTTAAATGGAAAAGAATGACTTTAGAAAGTGGAATTAAAATGACTAAGATGCTTATTACTTACAATCCCCATAAATTGTAAAGGAGAGTTTGTTATGCATGAGTCTGTTATTTGTGATTATTATGGTCTTCACCAGAAATTGCATGTCTTTTTTTATTTCTGAAATTTACTAGGATGAAGAGCACTATTGGTTTTTGTATTAAATGATTTTGATGGCCTGTGGCTAGATATCAATGATGAACCCGAAGGAAATGAGCAGAGTTCAGGGATGCAGATCAGTGCTGGATGTTTTGCGGACAAACAGAAGAGTCCGGCACTATTGAAATTGCACCTGGGACATACTGTCCTCTGAGAGAACTGCTGTGCTCTGTCTCAGCCGCTCTTCAGAGCAAAGCACATACAATGTAAATTCTGCATTCCCTGTATTTGCTTCTGATTTTTATTTCCTTTGATTTAATGGTAAGCCTCGAACCTCTGCCTTGCGCACACGGTTTTGTGTGCACAGGCTTTGAAATCGGCAGCCAGCCCTGCCAAACATTTAGAGACAAGTATTGTACAAAAATACTTCTTGCCAACTTCAGAAAAATTGCCAGCAGTTATGAAGTGATACAAAAAGGGACAGTGCTCTTATACATGATAAATCCACCACTAACTCATACTTACAGAAGGTGTTTTTTTTCTCCTTCCCTTGATCTGTCTGTTCACATTGCTGATTCTCTCACACCTGATGGCTCTTCTTAAATGCCCACCCTTGATATTCCTTTGAAGCTTTGTGCACCGAGGGCCTTCGCCTCTGGATCTTCACTTGGGCATGTTCCTGCCCACCTTGCTTCACCAGGCGACTGCGGAGCAGCAGGAGCGCTTCTTCATGCCCGCCTGGAACCTGGAGATCATTGGCACTTATGCCCAGACAGAGATGGGTCATGGTACGGTGCATTCAGTCTACTTTCTGGGCCGGGCGGGGCGCTGCAAGCGCAGCACGTGTGGAGTGCCCGCCACGTGGTAGCCATGGCACCTCTGCGTGCCATACATGCTCTGTTTAAATGCGACCTTTCTGCAGAAGCCAGGTTTTTCAACATACAAGTCTTGGCAAGGACATTGCTTTGGTTGGTGAAAATGAAAGTTTAGGTTATCACAGAGATATGCTGATTTTTTCCCCTTTGGTTCCCCTTTAGAAGGTCAGTGATTACAAGTGAGGCCTTACTAATTGGTTTCCAAGCTCACTGAAGTTGTGTAGAGTGTGTGTGCAATAGAATCTGAACCCAGTGACCCTTACTACTGATACGTTAGCGAACTTGCACAAATTCCAGAAGAAATACAGATTCAGAGTGGGTGTGCTCTTTGATTTCCTGGTGGGAAATGAGGGGCTTATATGCCAAAATGGGAATCATTTCATACCCAGAAGTTACCTGAGCCTGATTCAGTAAATTCAGTGACGTTCTGAAGGTGGCTCAGCCAGAGCTCCGAAAAATAAGATGAGCTGTACCCCCGGGCAGTTGGTCTCACTCTGTGCCTGCTACCTTTTTTCTTTCCATCCCCTCCTCCCTTTTCCCGTCTCTTCTGAGTTCATATCTGTCTTTGTCATTCATCTGCTTCCGGCTTTTCTTTTTCTACTCAGAGGTCTCGGGACAGCTGGTCTGAGGTGTGTTTGCCACTCGCCCTTTTTTTCTGTGCGACTCTATCTTGTCGTAGCTACTTTGGCTTTCGTCTTTGGTACTGAATACTGCTGTGCAGGATTGTCAAGGCTCCAGAGGGGGTGCCATTTGTTTTGGTTGTGCATTTGAAAATGTTTTGGCATAATCTGTTCTGTTTAATGTTATCTCATTTTCCTAAAAAGCTGCTCCTTTGGTGAAAGGAGTCTATGAGTGTCTCTTTTCTTGATTCCCACTCTGGGGAAGGTTGTGGGCTCACATGCAAACAGGCCATGGCTGCTGTTCACCTTGGAAGTTTCTAGATGTTTCAGAGTTTCAATGTTTGATGAGATCTATCCAGCATTAACAGAGCAGTTTGTATTATCAGGGAGAGTGTCACTTAGAACATTTTCCTGTAACTCTTAAAAGAATTTTGGCACATTTGTGTTAGGATTTAAAACATGACTCCCTGCCCCTCCTCAGTAAACATACGAAACTGGGAGCTTTTCCTGGTCACACTGAAACAGCCAGCACAGTCACTGTTCTAGGTCTTCTCCCCCATAATGGTTATACCTTTTTAAGGTCTCATTTTCCATTCTAGCAATCATTCTGAAGTAAGTTCTCAGTTTACAGGGCCTTTAACTAGACTCTCTTCCTGTCACAAGATATCTTATCCTTCGTAGTTGATGCAGTAAACACAATAGTGTGAGTTGAAATTGGCATACTCACTACTTAAAAGGGCAGTTAACTTCCTATGAGATTATGTCCTGTGATCTTATAAAACTAGGACTCTAAGCTGCCTTTACATTTTCTTTTGGTTGATCTAAATAAATGTTACCTGATTTAAGTGTAGGAAGTTATTATGTATCTTGGTTATCAATCATTTGTAGCTCATCTAAAAACATTTTATTGTCATTAGAGCCTGTTCTTCTCTGAGATATTAGAGCTTGAAGGACTGGACAGGAGATGTACCCTGTGTGTGTTTTTTCCCATATTCTGTCTGAAGTGAGTGTAATTTATTTCCTTAGGTACTCATCTGCGAGGCTTGGAAACCACAGCCACTTATGACCCCGAAACCCAGGAGTTCATTCTCAATAGTCCTACTGTGACCTCCATCAAGTGGTGGCCTGGTGGCCGTAAGTGAATTCTTTAGCAGCTATTAGGTGTTATACGATCACGTTTAGAATGTACAGCTTATATGAGGAAATCGTTTTGAAATATAGAAAAAAACCTTTTTTTTATAGAAAAACTCTTAAGGCTTAACTATTCTAAGCTATTCCACATTGACTTGTGGTGCATGTTACAGATACGTGTACACTTACATAGCATGGAAAGGACAGCTGTCTCACTCTGCTTTCCTTCATTTTCACCTAAACCTTTCCATGTATTAGCATAGTTTATAGCATCATCAGTCAAAGTAACTGTACTCCCTGTTTGGTGAGTCATTTCTGTATTGAAAAGCACTTGAGTTGTTTTCAGATTTTATTGTAAATAAGTTTGACATGAAACTTACTGTATTCCATTCTGAGCCATTGTCTTAGTATATATATCTCAGATGGCGCTAGTGCTTGAAGGATTTTGTTATTAACATTATATATTTTAATATGTGACACTACAGTTTTGTAAGAAAAAAACTAGCGTGCAAAAAGAGGGTAAATATTTCTGGATGTACTAACCAAAAACCTCTTAAAGCAGCTCTATCCCATAGGGCCTCCTGCAATGATTGGAATACTCTCTGTCTTTGCTGCTCAGGGTAGTAGCCACTACCATGTATACCTATCGAGGACTGGAAATGTAGCTAGTTGACTAGGGAACCGACTCTTTTATTCTACTTAGTTATAATTTCGTTAAATGTAAATAGCCACGTGTGGCTAGTGGCTGCTGCTTTGGGAAGCGCTACCTTAAGGGAGAAAACTGAAGTAATTTAAATGAATGTTCTTATGGTTAACCTGTACTTTTCTTTATATAAGCAAGTAAATATGTAGAAAAGAAAGCAGAGCTGAGCTGTCTTTTAAAATAAATTGCTATCAAATCAACATGTTGTGCACCTTGAACTTACATAGTATTACATGTCAGTTATCCCATTTAAAAGTTTATACATATATGGAAATGAAGGATTGCTTTGCCAAATTTCCATAAATTTTAATGACTCCACTTACGTAGATTTTCTTCTGAAAACTAGGGGTGGCGCTGTCATAAACAAGGCTCCCTGGGCACACTATTGATAGTCTGGTGTCATATTTAACATGTATTCTCCCCTTTTTTGTGTCTGTCCTTTGAACATGAAGAAGGGTTGCTCACTGTCTCTTGTTTACTTTGATGCTGCAGTTGGAAAGACCTCAAATCATGCAATAGTACTTGCCCAACTCTACACGAAGGGGAAATGCTATGGATTACATGCCTTCATTGTACCTATTCGTGAAATTGGAACCCACAAGCCTTTGCCAGGTTAGACTTGTTCATCTGATGTTGAGATGAAAACTTAAACCGAGCACTTTCTAATGCAAAAAGTGTAACATATAACTAAAGAGGAGTGGGGACAGCCAGGGATTCCAGAGCGTGAACACCTGGTGACTTTCCTTTCTCCTGTGGTAGGCATCACCGTTGGTGACATTGGTCCCAAGTTTGGCTATGACGAGATGGATAATGGCTACCTGAAGATGGACCATTATCGTATCCCCAGAGAAAACATGCTGATGAAGTATGCCCAGGTATATGACAATAGAAGAGAGGGGCAGTGGTGTCGGGCACGGGATTGCTGTGGCTGTTGGTAACCACGGTGTTAAAAGGGTCTGTTTTTAGGAGGTAATAACATAGTGTCACTTCTGATGCTGCTTTTATTATGACAGTGACAGTGAAACCAAAGGCCGTTGGCAGGTCCGAGGAGCATGTGCTGGTCTGCTAAACCCACGACTCACACATTAGGGTGTGTGAGAACCACCTGGAGGGCTGGCTGAAATCCCAGTTGCTTGGCCCCCAGAGTTTCTGATTGAATAGGTCAGTGTGGGGACTGAGATTTTATATTTCAAACAAGTTCCCAGGCAGTGCTGATGCTGTGGTCCTGGGGACCACACTTTGAGAACCACTGGCCAGTTTAACAGGAAGCATCAGTCCCATATTCTTTTTCCAGGTAAAGCCTGATGGCACATACGTGAAACCCGTGAGTAACAAGCTGACCTACGGGACCATGGTGTTTATCAGGTCCTTCCTCGTGGGAGAAGCTGCTCGGTGTCTGGCTAAGGCATGCACCATTGCCATCCGCTACAGCGCTGTGAGGCACCAGTCTGAAATCAAGCCTGGGTAAGGTGGAAGCTGAAGTGGGCTCATTACTGAAGACCTGGCTTTGAGCCCATTCAGATATCAAAATTTCCAGATGTGTAGAAAAGATGCATTGTCTATAAAGTTAGCTAAGATGACAGTGTACTGGATCTGCTACTTAGAACCTAGGCTTCCTGTTCTTAAGTAGAAAGGTGAGAATGCCACCTTATTATTTTTAATTTTCTAAGAAAAACAGTAATAATATTACTTGAGCTGTATACGTGAAGTGTTCAGAACATTGAAGGCAATTTGAAAATTCTAGTTGCTACTAGCAACTACAAATTGGGCATGGTGGAAATGACATTAAACTGTTGTGTCCATGCCCATGGTTTATTCCTGCTACTGCCTTTCACTTGGGCATGACTCCCTGGTAACCTTTTTACTCCGAAAGAGGGGATAAAGAAGTTGATAAGAGCAGACCTTAGAATTCAAATATTTGACTCTGTGCATTGGGTCTTCTCCATAGTTGTGATCAAAATACAGTTTATTTAGTCTAGTTACTGGGTTAGATCTCTGTATCATCGCCTTCCTCCTATGAAATTAACTAACTTTGATTTTGTATATTGCCATAAGATAGTTTCCTTAGTCATACTGGAAAGACAAAGAAAGACACAAACTTCACAGCTAGAAACTTCTGTCCACTGAAGACAGCTTAACAAGGTGGTTAACAGCATCTTCTGTAGCTACATAGCCTCAGTGTAAATGGAGGATCTGCCGCTTACTAGCTGCTTGACTGAAGGCAGGTCCTGGGCCTCTTGTTGCTCCAGTTTCACAGGGTCTTTATGAGAATTAAATAAGTTAATATAGCAAAGTGCTTAGACCAGAACCGGGCACAGAGTGAGTTCTGCACATGTGTTTAATTTTTCCTTTTTCTATATACTTTAGTGAACCAGAACCTCAGATTCTGGATTTTCAAACTCAGCAGTATAAACTCTTTCCACTCCTGGCCACTGCCTATGCCTTCCATTTTGTGGGCGCGTACATGAAGGAGACCTATCATCGGATTAATGAAGACATTGGCCACGGCGACCTGAGTGAACTGCCTGAGGTACGTGTTCAGTCTCGTTCATGTGTGGGCACCCTTCTGCTTCTGTTTGCCTGAGATAATATCCAGAGGAAACTACGAATTGGGATTTCATGAGTGGTCCATATATTCTCAAAGGATCCAGAAGTTCTTCTGATTGGAAGTGAATTAAATGTGAAGACTTGTGGGTTTTGTCTTTAAGTTTCAGAAGTGCTGTACCGTATTGGTCGTCTGTTAATCAGGGTGACTTTTTGCCAAGTGGCACAGTTCAGAAGGGAGTGTGGGAATGGATGGATTCAGGCCGGGTAGACGCCCGTGCTGCTTCAGTCACGCGCGAAGCAGGTGGTTTTGAAAGTGACCGGCACTGATAGAGAGTCAGTGTTCTCATTAGAACTCGGGCTGTCAGCACTCAGATATTCTGACGGCCTGTGCTTGCCCTCAGCTCCATGCCCTCACTGCCGGGCTGAAGGCTTTCACCTCCTGGACAACTAACACTGGCATCGAAGCCTGCCGGATGGCCTGCGGCGGGCATGGCTACTCACACTGCAGTGGTCTTCCTAATATTTACGTCACTTTCACCCCCACCTGCACCTTCGAGGGAGAAAACACCGTCATGATGCTGCAGACCGCCCGGTGAGAGCCTTAACTCGTGACTACTCTTGTCTGTTAATAAGTGTGTTTGAGACCTTCTCATGGCTTCCAGTTACCATGGTTTTTTTGTTTGGTTGGTTTGTTTTTGAATATGTCTTTATTGATTTCAGAGAGAGAGGAAGGGAGAGAGGGAGAGAGAAACATCAGTGATGAGAAAGAGTCATTGATCAACTGCCTCCCGCACGCCCCCTGCTGGGGAGCGAGCCCACAACCTGAGCACGTGCCCTGACCGGGAATCGAACCACGTCCTCCTGGATCCTAGGTCAATGCTCAACCGCTGAGCCAGGCTGGCTGGGCTGCTACCATGTTTTCTCTTTGCGTTACATTTGTTCCTGAAAGACATCATTGTGCTCTCTATCCTGACCCACTGTGTTTATCTTGTGATCAGAGCAGCAAGTATGAAACTCACTTGTCACATGACTTAAAGCCTCTTGAAGGTTTGGTTTTATTTCAGTTTCACCAGAAGCAGAGTTACTAAAAGCACGTGTACTGATGATTTTTAGGTTTCTGATGAAAAGCTATGACCAGGTGCACTCAGGAAAGTTGGTGTGTGGCATGGTGTCCTACTTGAATGACCTGCCCAGTCAGCGCATCCAGCCACAGCAGGTGGCGGTGTGGCCGACCGTGGTGGACCTTGACAGCCCCGACAGCCTCGCGGAAGCCTATCGGCTCCGCGCAGCCAGGTGAGCTGGCCCTCGGGCTGGAGCTGCGGCGGGGAAGAGAAAGGGTGTGAGCTCCATTGCTCTCCTTCCCCAGCTTCAGTTCTCTCTGATTTCTCAACAGATTAGTAGAAATTGCTGCTAAAAACCTGCAAACTGAAGTGAGTCACAGGAAAAGCAAGGAGGTAGCCTGGAACCTGACTTCCGTTGACCTCGTGCGAGCAAGTGAGGTCAGTGACAGCTCTCTTTCCGTCTCCACTGTGCCAGCCCTCCCTCCAGCACCTGCCCCGTCCTCTTGCTGCAGAAATCCTGTCGCTGCGTGGAGGGTCCTTCCCAGGGTTTTCACATTCCACTGTGTTCTTTTATCCAGGCACATTGCCACTATGTGACGGTTAAGCTCTTTTCAGAGCAAGTCCTCAAAATTCAAGATAAATCCATCCAGGCTGTCTTGAGGAATCTCTGTCTCTTATATTGTCTGTACGGAATCAGTCAGAAGGCGGGGGATTTTCTCCAGGTCAGTATTTGCCTAAGTTGACGTCCTTTTTTTTTGTAGAAAAATAATTGTGGTCTGCTTTATAGCTGTGTGTGCATGTAATATATCTAGCTGTCTGTATACAGGGTGGCCAAACGTAGGGCAGTTGTTTGGGTGGAAAAAGACATGTGGGTCATGATTATAACAGTAGCTTTATTAACTCAAAGGAGCATCACAATGCAACTGAATCTCCTCCTGTCCACCATGTACAGACATATATCTGCATCATTTGTCTGTTCTGTTTCTTCCAGGAGAGCATCCTGACAGACTCTCAGGTGACCCGAGTGCATCAGCGCATCAAGGAGCTCCTGACCGTGATCCGCCCGGATGCCGTCGCTCTGGTCGATGCGTTTGATTTCCAGGATGTGTCACTGGGCTCCGTGCTGGGCCGCTATGATGGGAATGTGTATGAGAACTTGTTTGAGTGGGCCAAGAACTCTCCACTGAACAAAGCAGAGGTAAAAAACAGTATCTTTTCACCTTTTATAATTGTTCATTTAAATATTAAGACAGAAAAGACCCCTGAGCTGGTCTATCTGTAAAAGCTTTGAAAGCTCATCTCGGACAGTCACGTTAGTCAAGCAACAGGTTCAGAGGGGAACCAGCTCATTCCTGCAGTAAGCAGGCCTTAACTTCCTTGACTGTTTAATAACTCATTGAAGCTTTTCAAACATACGTAAAAGCATGACACTGGTGCAGCTCCCCAGGCCCTTTGTCACGCTTCCACAGTCTACTTCCAGCCAGTTGGCTTCATCTGGAACCCCCAACCCTCACTGTCCTAAGAATTATTTTGAAACAAATCCAAGATGTCAGATAATTTTATCCATAGATATTTCAATATGTATCTCTACAAAAGATAAGGATTCTTTTTAAAAATATAGCATTCTCACACCTAAACAAATTAACAACAATTCTTTAACATCATGAGCTGTCCTATGTCCAGAGCTTCTCAGTTGGCTCAATTCTATTCCCCACCCCCACCCCAATTTCTTTGGATCAGGATCCAAATAAGATGCCGATAATTTCTTGGTTAAAAGTATGCTCTTTTTGCCCAGCCTGTGTGGCTCAGCAGTTGAGCATCAACCTCTGATCTAAGAGGTGAGGGTTTGATTCCTGGTCAGGGCACATGCCTGGGTTACAGCCTCAATCCCCAGTAGGGGGCGTGCAGGAGGCAGCCGATCAGTGACTCTCATCATCGATGTTTCTCTTTTTCTCCCTCTCCCATCCTCTCTCTGAAATCAATAAAGACTTAAAAAAAAAAAAAAAAGTATGCTCTTTTACATTGCAAGCTCCTTATCAGTCATTTCTTCTCTCTCCCTTCCCTCAGGTCCATGAATCTTTCTACAAGCACCTGAAGCCACTACAGTCCAAGCTCTGAAGGTCACAACAGCACAGTCCTCTACTGCACCTGTCACACAAATCTGCACTGAATCTTGATCAAATTCAGAGCGCTATCGAGCAAATGATAAATTGACCCCTTTCCTCTTTATAAATGAAGAAAACAATGAACAGCTCTCAGAAATTAAATGGAAAAAAAAGTATTTTAAGTGCAATTAACACTAAGAGAGACCTGTGAAGCATTCAGAAAACGCTTTAAGAAATGCAGTCTGACTTCCCTCTGTAACGCTGCTAACCCCAGGCCATCACTTTTGATAATTAGTAGAATGTAACTACTAAGTAGTTGATTTTTTCACATCTTAATTGCTAATCACTGGATATATGTGTTTTTAAGCAAAGGTATTTTTTAAGTGAGGTAGAAACCTTCCGAGCTTTCCTGCTAAATGCCCTACTGCTCCTGCCACCAACCCTGGCTTAAAAGCAGAACTGAAGAAAATTGATTGGGGAAAATAAACTAATCAGGAAACTTGTTGTGAGTCTGTGCTTGACACATTTCCTGCCTGCTTGCCCTTGGTTGCTGATGTATTGTTTTTTTGTTCATAGTAGCATTTTTCCAACACAAGGATTTCTTCGGCAAGATTGTGGTCCTGTGTAACTGGAAGTTAATCTTCCATTTGAAGGATCCCTAAATTATCACTGTAGTAGCGCTTTGTCCCCAACAACTTGGGAAGAGGTAGGTAGCAAAGTTATCTCTACGTAGGACCTTTGTCAGCTGATGGGACTTCAATCTGTGGTGTTTGGTCTCCCTCCCCCCCTCTCCCTTAACCTCCTGAAAGAGATGCTAAAGGAGGAAAGGTCACCATTCCTTCCTGGTAGGAGGTGTAGGGAGGGCTCTTAGTTATGGTTGCTGTAACTTTGGTGACCATATTAACTGGATAGTCTGGAACAATCCAGGTTTCATATGTGCTGTAAAATGCTTGGAGGTCACAGTACCTGTCATGACAAAAGTAAAAGCATCACTCAGGTTACTTCTGACACCCAGGAGTAGCACAGAAAAATCCTTTGTAAACCATATATTCTGGTTTTTGGATCAGAAAATAGAATCATTGAAACTATGGCTAAAGGACAAATGGAAGTTGCATAGAATCTGTTTCTTATTGTACATCAGGCTTTATTTTCAGTATGTTTCTAGGACTGCTAAATTGTCCTTTCAGCTAAAATCTTATCTGCACAATCTTTCTATATTTAAAGGGTAAACATGTACCTCTTAATGATTTTATTCTTAAAGTCAACGTAAAACAATACATCATTTTTTTTCTAACTGTATCTGTGACATCTGCCTCAGGAAACTGGTTCTAGAATCAGTCTTGAGGATGTGGTATAATTCATGGAAATGTAATTACTATCTGGGACCTGACATAAAATCTGTCCCAGTGGAACTGGTAACACGATAATTTAGGTCCAGCAGAAATACTGTCTGTTGACAGAAGCCTTAATCTTTCCACCAGGAGAGTTAATTGATAATTGTGTTAAGATGGAAGTAAAAAGCGTGGTGTTCATCTCATTTGGGTATTTGACAGTAGTTCAGATTCTGAGAAATAACAAAGTAAACTTAAATTGCTGAATATTGACCTGTTAAATACAGAATTGTTTCGATATCAGTGATTACGTACCTCACTCAGAGATGACTGTCTTGATCAGGATATGAGTGTGTTTGAAGTGACACCTAACCAAAAACTAAATCTGATATTTGATACTATTTTTATTAATATTGGTATGTTTTGTCTTGAACTTGACTCACTGTAATCAAAGAATAAAGACATAAAACCTCACTAATTTGTACTGTCAAGAGGGAAAGTGTACCGCACGCATAATTAAGTATAAGTTCTAGTTTTGAAGAATTTTAAGATAATAGGTTTATTAGGTTTAGGTGACACTAAGGACAAAAGGAGTGAGACCTCCCTGAGCCGATGGCACTAACATCTGCTGTAATTGCTGAAGTTGTCTCATGGGCCATGAGTGCTCTGGTCGCTTTAGGAAAATTAATTTGTTGACTAAAAAGGAAACGGCAGATCCAGTTTGCTATCCCTAAGAAGCCAAACTGCCAGAGGTAAGATTGGTTTTGAGTTCTTTTGTGAGCCGTTTCCAGAGAGTTACAAAGATAAACTTCAAACTACTCTCCTCCAAAATGATGATAAAGGCTGAGTAGAATTAATGAGGTTTCTCTATTAGATACTGATGTCTTTTTTAAAAAAGTACTCTGACCAGTACTCAAGATTGAAAAGTTGAGGTTTAATAGGGATGTTTTGCTCTATAATGGGTGAGGGTTGATCCTTCCTCAGGTGTTTGCAGCTGTTTCACGCTGTTAGGTGTGTGCCGAGGAATATTTGTGTTTGAACGTTAGTGACCTCAAAACATGATTGGTCCCAAAGCCGTGGGGCCCTTCCTGTTGTCTGCAGAACATAACACTACTAAGGTATCGGCCTTTCATGTTCAGTCTCCTAGAGTTCTCTGGGGAATGCTGCTGCCCAGGACCTCCTCCCCCTTTCTGAGTTCTTTCCACCCATCTTATTAGGAAGGAGAGGAATAGATGATGGTTTCTAACGCTGCTAATCTTTTTACACGTGGGAAACATGCCTGGAGTTACAGGCTGTCTTCCAGCAGTAGCTGCTACTACAGCTGGAGAGAGGAGCAGGGCCAAGAAATTGGTTATTCTACCTGAGTCCAGGAGTCTTTTCTTGATTCTCCTGACTCCGATAAAGGTTTTGATTGTTTGCCTGGAATAATGTGGAGATCATCTGAGCTAACTGAATATTTACTACATTCTGGAGGATTAGACCAAGTCCTATGTAAATGACTAAAAGGGTTTTTCATTTTAAAATGGTGGTGGTGGTGTTTTGCTTTTAACTGTGCATACTTACTAAATTTTTCAGTAACTATTCCTGTGGCCCATGACAGTAAACATAGAAACATAAGGAACCTTCAGAGTTAGTTACCAGGTGTTAGCTGTTGCAGACATGCATATTCCTAGATTCCAAGGGGGTTTTGTTTGATTTTGCCTTAAATTTAAGTGAGCCATTCATTATCTCTGGAAGATCAGGGAAAATTGGAAGTGATTTTAAGAATTCTGAACTGGCCCCGGCCGGGTAGCTCAGTTGGTTAGAGCACCATCCCCATACGACAAGGTCGCAGGTTCGATCCCTGATCAGGGCACATACAAGAATCAACCAGTGAATGCTTAAGTAAAGGGAACAACCAATCGATGTTTCTCTCTCTCTCCAATGAATAAATTTTTTTTAAAAAGAATTCTGAACCAAAATAAGTTGTTTTGCCACGATACTGTTGACTGTTTCATAAATTAGGTACCAAATGTGAGCTCTTCCACATAATACTAAGACTGCTGGCTACTGCTTTGTAAACACCATTTTACTTACAATTGCTGTGGACTTGTATCCTCTGGAGTGTATAACTACTTTGCTACCTTTTCTCTTTCACTGCTGTGGTTTGGGTTTGCACTTACTTTTCGTTGTCACCCAGCCCCGCGGGACCGTCAGTGCGGGCGGGAGTGCCAACGGTGCAGGGGCCGCAGCACGTCAATCACGGCTGCACAGCGGGGGGCCGCCAGCAGCGCTGGGCCTGCCGGCAAGACAAACCACTAGCCCCTTTTTCCGCTGTAAAATTCAAAGACCCTTAATAAAATCTGTAATTAGCACAAAAAAGTGTTACGTGTCTTTATTGGGGGTGCTGTGGGGTTTCATTCGGGCTTTGCGCCTTTGATTTCCGTATTTGAACAGGTCGAGGCCACTTCCCTAAGCTTTGGAATGTGGGATAAGTACCTAATTATGGTTTGACACGTCCATCTTCCAATCGTAACACAAGTCTCACGCGCTCCCCGTCACCACGCGGCCCTCTGAACGGGGCTCGGCCTTGCAGCCGGGGTGCACTGACCTTGGAGCCCGGAGCCCTCGTCCCAAAGCGGCGTCGAAGCAGCTCCTAGCAACGGGCGGAGTCGCGAACAGAGGCCGGGTTCCGACTAACGGCCGCGGCGAGGCACCCTGGGAAATGTAGTTCATCGTGGCGTCCCCTGTTCCCTTGGTCCCGACAGGTGAGCGGGCCTCGGACTACAACTCCCAGGATGCCTCGCGCCTCGCCTTTCTTTCGGAGACCTGGCGACTAAGAGATTGGCGTCCACAGGGCGCCCACGCCGGAGTCCTGGCCCACCTGGGCCCGGACCAGCGACTATGGCCGGGACAGTTCCCAGCGGCAGCGCCTCCGAAGTGAAGGGTGCGTAACCCCGGGGGACTTCAGGGGCTGGGAGGATCGCGGGCTGCGCGGGGGTCGAGATGTGCCGGGCGCGCGGAGTCCCGGGACCGAGGCGGTGTCCGCGGGAGGACCCTCGCGGAGGGGCGGGCTCGAGAGTTTAAACTGGCGCGGAGTCGGCGGAGCGGCTGCGGCGACTGGGCGGCGCCTGTGGCCCTGGGGCCTTCGCGCGCCTCCGTTAGACGTGCGGGCGCCGAGTCGCGGGAGATGCCCGGCAGCGCC